AAAAGAAACACTGTTAACTGATGGTACAGGGATTGAATTATAATCATTGTAATGAAACAAAGTATGTGATTTGTTGAATGTAAAACTGATGATCTGCCCTGTTAACTTTCACTCAGTTCACAATAAAAACTTCCAAAAAAATAAAAAAGAAAGAGTGCTTGGTGACTAACTGAGAGGTCTTTGGTTCAAACCCACCAGCTAGCTGCTGTAAGGAAGAAGGATGAAGTAATCTGCATCTGTGAAGAAACCTCTGGGACCGGTCTACTCTGTTTTACAGGGTTGCTCTGAGTGTGAATCAATGATGATGAGTTTGGTTTTGTTTGGTATAGTCAGATGACTCTTGTTCATTCACGTGAGAAAAAAAAAAAAGGGATACATGGCTCTTAAATAATTCATTTGTTTATTCATTCAACAAACAGATATTGAGCACTTACTCATTCCTGCTATGAGCCTACAACTAAGTTAAGTGCTAGGTGTTAGGGATCCAGGTGTGAACATCCTCAAGTCTCTGTCCTCAAGTAGCTAACATTCTAGATAGGAAGACAAGCAGTAAGCAAGTTAATTAAATATCCAATGTGTGGTTTCAGTGAAGAGATTTAGAGGAAAAAGAGTAAGAGACAGTGCCTGAGTGATGTTGACCAGTCCAAAAGCCAGGGCAGAGGAATGAAATGATCTAACTGATGCTTGAAAAGATTATATAGTACCTTCTTCTGCAACAGCTCTTTCAGTACTTCAGGAAAGCTCTTGAAGCCTTTTGTGGCCTCAAGAATGCTTAGCTCTGTGTATATTGGTGGATGAGGAGGAATTTTATGAGGAAACTTCACTTTGGCTACAAATGAAAGGAATTCATGAGCATTGCATATGCCAGGTATCATGCCAGAGGGTATTGATGAAGAACCCAGTCTCTTCCTACACGGAAGCAGCAGAATGAGTAAGCAGCTGGTGGACCAGAGTAATGTGATACAAGTACAGGTGCTTTGGGAATGTGGAGTTGGGGCTCCTCAGTTAGACTTGCTAGGACATCAGGAAAGTTATATTGATCAGGTGCTCACCAGGTAGAGAAGAGGAGAAGTGTAATCTGTTATGATATAAAATTAAACCAACAGTGGTCGCTAGCAAGGTCTGATCTGAGGGATCATCAAGACCCTTCCTCCCTAGCTGTAGCTCTTGGACATTTGAAGAAAGCTGTCCTAATGCTTGAGTGGTCCAGATTTAGACACTTTGTGCTGTGATGGTATATGCTGATAGGGAAGGGGTAGAATTTATAGGCTCAACCCTTCTATACTCTTTATGCAGGAAATTCAGGTCTTTTTCTTGATGTCAAGATTTAACTATTTCCCCCCAATTTCTCCTTGTTCCTGTCAAGAGCTATGCTGCTTGAAATGAAATCTTGATAAGGTCTTTCATCTTTATTGTTCTCTATGAGAAGTAAACATGATTTAAGTGAACCACGATGAGAGCCCCTTTCTAGGTACAGCAAGTAAGATGTGCCCCAGGTTACAAGTCCACCTTTGACCCCACTGAATGATCTGAAAGTAAATGTATCACTAGTTTTACCAAGATGGATGTAGTGTCCCAAGTGACAGGGCTAGTAAAATTTGAGGATAAGTAGACTCCTCAGATGGAGACTCAAGTGGGTGTCCTGGTAGCTAAAGGAGCCATCGTGGTTTTCTTTCATGGCAAGCTGAGGGAACAAGCTGATGATATAGGAATTAGAAGCTACACTGCCTTTGCAGTGACTTTCTTAGCTTAAAAAATAAAGGAACAAACTGTCTAGTGTCAGACAAGATAGCAGACTGACTGAATTTAACAAAGGAAGCTTTGGGAAAAGGGATGAAAATGCAGTTGGAAATGGAAGTCGTGCTTCTTCCTTGATACATATCTCAACCTGACACTTTCTCTCCTGGAGCATTCCAGGTTGTTTTTTGGTGATCTTGCATTTGTATTTTCTTTCTTTATATAGTTCTGATTATGGTTGATGTATGCCAACTGTTTGGGAATTGATATTTTTCCTTATTTCTGTTCGCTCTTGTTATGTGTTAAATTGCTTAAACGGAACTTTTATTATCTCCAGAGCAGTCATCATCTTTCTCTCTGTATGGCTTTCAGAAATGGATATGATTTATAGAATTGAGCCAGCAAAGAGAAAGCCTTCCATAGCTTGGTTTGTTAGCATAGGTGCATTGACCTTCAGTGCAGGTGACATGAAGATCACATAGAATGGGTTTCTGCCCTTGGGAGGACGTAAAAACAGAGTAGAAATATTACACCAGTTCATAAATTAGTAAAGACCTTACATCATCTGTCTGTCTGTTGGTCAAAGCTTTTAGGGGTGGAGAGCAATATTGAATATGTCCTGGGGCTGGAGGTGAGGTGGACTAGCAATGAAAATGACTTATTCAAATTGGACAGATGGAGAGCATGATCACATAGCCAATCTGCCTCTAATGTTTGATGGGAGGTTTCTGCCCCACTGACCTCCAGGATAGCAACATTGCAAGCTGGATATGAAACCTGAAGAGAAGAGATTTCTTTAATTTGTGTTGTTCTTATATCTGAATGGGAGACCCTGGGTCTCAGCTACTCACAGAAAGGTTGGTGGTTTAAATCTACCCAGGCACAGCTAGGAAGAAAGGCCTGGTAATCTACTTCCAAAAGGTCACAGCCATTGGAAACTCCACGGGACACAGTTCTACTCTAAAACACATGGTGTCATCATGAGTTGGAATTGATTCAGTGGCAACGCTTCTTTTTTAGTCTGGATGACATCTACAAGGCAATATTAAAATTCTATTGCCTGTCCATTATACACTTCATAGGATTTGATGCCTATGACAGGTGTTGAGAAACGTTCTTGAACACACTTCTTTCTTCAAGTCTCATCCTGTTTGTTCTGGATGGCTGATTGCAGATGGGCTTAGTATAGTCTGGTACATAAATCATGAACAGCCTTGTGGCAAGCAGCTGATCTTAACAAAGCTTGCAATCACCAGCTCTTCTCAGCCACACTGTCAAGGTGGCAGAGGGGTTCAAGAATCGACCTTGAAAGGAAAGTCCTTTTCCAGCTGGGAAGTTTCTGCCTATTCTGACTGTGGAATTAGTACCCCGACTGAGCTGGTCTTACCCTGAGATCTAAGGCTAAAGCATGGCCATTCAATATAATGAAGCAGAATAGGGATGGCAAAGACTAACATCAACAAGATTCTATGAATTATCAAGTTATGATGCAGCTGACTTCCATTTTATCACGTTGACCAGAACAGTCTTCTCTTAGCTGCAGGGTAAGCTGAGAATGTATTCCACATCTACCAGCCATGGAAACATGGGCCCAGAACTAAACCTAGAGGGAAGCAGGCTTGGGAGCATCTGTACATTCCAGGACCCCGGGCTGGCTTTCATACTGTAGTTATCAGACTGAACAAGCTGAACTTGTATGTATGTGAGGAAGACTCAGACCTAGCTCCAACTTGTTTTTCTGATTTCAGCTCTTACCTTGTAAATCCTAAGCCTGCAAGTAAAGGTAGCTATTATATTGTTGCCTGTTTGGAGGTCACCCAAGGAATTCTTCATAGACTGAATTGCTTCTACCGTTAATGCCAGAGGCATGGAAGCCTCCAGTGGCCTTAGAATCATGGTGCCTTGGATCAAAGGCCAACACTGCTTACTTGGTCTTATTGAAAACTAGCCCCTGAAGAGTTCAGCTTTTCTGAGATTTCCCTTTACTTGCAAGTTTGTCTACTAGATGTACAAGTTGATTAAATGCCAGTGCATCAACAGATGCAATTATATTTAAGAACAAGCTTCTTCTAATCTCTGCCATCACTGATTAATTAGACACTTTGAACTATGCCCAACTGTTTGAAAGCTGTGAAAAATACAACCTGCACAGTTAAAATTTCTGCACCAGTTTATTTTCTCATTTGTGTCTGGACTCTTCTTTTAAAACCATTCTTTAAACATAATATGTATTTATACATGTTCCCAAACACGCAATCTGGCTATTTTCTTATCATGGTTAGAAATCCCTCCACTGTTGGCCAAGAAATACAGTCACCCAGTTTTACAATCAAATAGCAAGAGTGTGTGAGAGACCAGCTGAATAAATTTAGGCTTACCTTCAGATTGTTGTCACTGGTCACACTTTCCAATTTTGTTTTTTTCTTTGTTAATCTAGCACTAATGCCTCAGAAAGTTTTGTTGTTATTATTGCTTTTAACAGTGTCTCTTTATTGAGGTTTTTAGAACACTTTTGTACATATAGGAGGGGGAAGAGATTGGTTTGGAGTGTAGCAACAGCCTCATTTATGATATATAATTATTAGCTACCTATCTGACAGTGTGTTTTGTAAGTCTGTCTTTGTGTTGTAGAGCCGTCTTTTCAGGTAAGTTAGCATTGAAAGAATGGCCTGCTTCACAAATGAAGACGTCCAGACAGAGAGTCTCTGAACTTGGCTCCTGGTGACTCACATGGTATATGCGCTAGAATTGTGGGACTGGGATGTCTGGACATGCTGAAGAAAATCAGCTAGGGTATTTTTATATCTCTCATCAATGGCACATTCAGACTCATGCCGGCCATTGAACTCTGAAAGCTTCTTAGCTAAATCTCTGTGGTCTTTAGTCCCTAGAAACAGTTGTATTTTGGACTCTTTTCTTCCTTCAATTTGATATCACTAAAAGGTGAACAAGTAATATGCCTCACTTTTGAAGACATTCCCATTTGATCTTATCTGTTTGAAAATACATATTATCTGTACAGATTCTTTCCCATTCCCTATTCTCCCCCTGAATTCCAAACCAGACTTCGGCCTTTTACAAAAAATCAGACTAAATCAAGATCTCTCTACCACTATATCCTTCCCTCTTGATTGAGAATAAGGAAACCCCTCTCTATGTTAGATTTCCCTTGATGAATGTGAACAAATCAGAGCACAGTGGCAAGGGTATCAGTAATTGTATAATCCTGATTGTTACTGATTTCTTCTTCCCTCACATCCTAGGTAACAACTTGCCTGATTGCTGTGGCTAAAACAGATCCTGAAGTTCAAGTGCGCCGAGCTGCCATCCATGTGGTTGTGCTGCTGCTTCGGGGTCTCAGCCAGAAAACTACTGAGGTAGGTCGGTCTCTCACCATTTGTAACTCGTTTACCTCCTTGTCCTGTGTCTGTTTACTAAACTTCCATTCACTACCACAGGCCGCAAGTCTGTCCCTAGATGGGCTCATGCAGATGAATCAGTCAGCAGAAATTTTGTAGCAGGAAAATTATCTTGTTTGCATCTCCAATAAGGGTCTCCATTTCCTCTGTAATATGTTAGACAAACTACATACTTAATAATAGTAGTAGTTAGGTGCCATCAAATTGGTACCAACTCATAGTGACCCTATACACAATAGAACGAAACACTGCCCTGTTCTGGGCCAACCTCACAATTGTTGCTACACTTGAGCCTATCGCTGCCATCACTGTGCCAATCCATCTTTTTGGGGGTCTTCCTCTTTTTCTCCAAACCTCCACTTTGCCAAATATGATATCCTTCTCCGGTGACTGATCCCTCCTGATAATGTGTCCAAAGTATGAGACTAAGTTTGGCCATCCTGACTTCCAAGGAGCACTCTGGTTTTACTTCTTCTAACACAGATCTGTTTGTTATTTTGGCAGTCCCTGGTACTTCTAATATTCTCCTCCTACACCATAATTCAAATACATCAATTCTTCTACGGTCTTAGCCTTCCTTATTCACTGTCCAGCTTTCACATGCATATGAGGTTATTGAAAATACCATGGATTGGGTGAGTGAGGTGCACCTTAGTCCTCAAACTGACATTTTTACTCTTCAGAACTTTAAAGAGGTCTTGTGCATCAGATTTGCCTAATGTAACATATCATTTGATTTCTTGACTGCCGCTTTCATGAATGTTGATGGTTGATCCAAGCAAAATGAAGTCGTTGAAAACTTTCATCTTTTCTCCATTTATATGGATGTTGTTTATTGGTCCAGTGGTGAGGATTTTTGTTTTCTCTACATTGAAGTGCAACCCATACTGAACGCTGTGGTCATTGATCTTCATCAATAAGTATTTTAAGTCCTCTTGGCTTCAGCAAGCAAGATTGTATTACCTGAATATTGCATGTTGTTGTTAATGAGTCTTCCTCTAATCCTGATGCCACGTTTTTCTTCATATGATCCAGCGTCTCAGATTATTTGCTCAACATACAGACTGAATAAATGTGGTGAAAGAATACAACCCTGGTACTACCTTTCCTAATTTTAAACCATTCGATATTCCCTTGTTTTGTTCCAACAACTGCCTTTTGGTCTATGTACCGGTTCCTCATAAGCACAATTTAAGGTTTCAGATTACTTATACTTCACAGTGTTGTCCATCGCATGCCATGGTCCACACAATTGAAATCCTTTGCGTAGTCAATGAAGCACACAGAATTTCTGGAATTCTCTGCTTTCAGCCAAGATCCATCTGATGTCAGCAGTGATAACCCTCATTCCACGTCCTCTTCTGAATCCGGCTTGAACCTCTGGAAGTTCTCTGTTAATGTATGGGTACAGCCATTTTTTAATTACCTGTAGTAAAAGTTTACTCACATGGGATATCAGTGATAATGTCCAATGATTTCCACATTCCATTGGTTCATCTCTCTTTGGAATAGGCACAAGTACAGATCTCTTCCAGTTGGTCAGCCAGGTAGCTGTCCTCCAAATCTCATGGCATAGATGAGTGAGTGTCTCTAGTGCTGCATCAGTTTGTTGAAATATTTCAATTTGTATTCCATCAATCCCCGGTGCCTTGTTCTTTATCAAAGCTTTCAGTGCTCCTTGAACTTCTTCCTTCATGATCATTTGCCCTTGATTATATGCTACCTCTTGAAATGGTTGAACATCAACAGTTTCTTTTTGATACAATAACTCTGTGTATTCCTTCCATCTTCTTTTGATGCTTTCTGCACTTAATACTGCAGAAAAACCAGAATACAAAACCAGCTTATAGATGTAGACTTGGAATTCTGGCATTCTCCTTACAGGGCAGATTCCAAGGTAGGCTAGCTGAAATATATTAACTGTGCCTCTTAATCTGAACTTTAGTTAACTTGGCTTCCTAACTCATTTAATTGTTCATGTTGAATTACTCAAGGACCACATTTTAAGTGTTTCCTTTCTAGATGTACTTCAATCCATGGAGTTGTAGTTTCTGCATAAATTAAATTTTCTTCCTCCTGTAAGTGGGAGATGCTGCCTTTCTCCCTAGGGTGTGGCTAATCCAGGAAGAAAGTATATATGTATGCTAAGAATGAGTGACCCCAAAATTAAGTTTCTTGATTTTAATGGAAACTTGTTCCCAGTTGACTTCATGGAGATGATTTGCATTAATAATTTACTTGTTAGAATTCACAATGGTAGGCTGCAGCTGGCACATAGGTATTTAAGTAATTATCAATGGAGCCACTATAAGAGGGATTACTGTGTCAGACAAACAAGCTTTCTTCCTGCTAGAATTTTGCCTTTTCAAACTCTTGACACCGTTTTTGTACAGGCTCTGACTCATTAATTTCCCCCCTTTTTCACTGCACCTCCACAGTTTCTCTAAATTACTTCCTCTTGTTTCTGGCCAGCAGCGAGACAAGATTCCAAATAGTTGCATCCCTGTGCTTTATCCTTAACTACGTTTCCCTTCTTTCTGATTTGCCTTGTGTAAGTTTAGGTTTTGGATTGAATGTGTTTATCTAATAGGAAAGTGATTAGCTGCTAGTTACAAAAACTTCAACTACAACGGCTAAAATAAGTAATGATTTGTTTTCTTTCATCACAAGAAATTTGTGGGTAAGCGGTGCTGGTTGATTTTTCAGCTCAGTGTCAGTATTTCTATTATCCTCATGGCCTTTGTCTTGTGACTGTAAGATAGCTGCTATAGCGCTGGCCATTGATTTATGATTAATTTAAACTAATACTGGAAAAGACGCAGCTTTTTTGGGGAAAGAAAATAATATCCCAGAATGCTCCAATTGACTTCCGTTTTATTTCATTGGCCAGAACAGTCTTACATAACTTCTCCTAGCTGCAGGGTAAGCTGAGAATGTATTTCACTGAAAACATTTCTACTCTGAACAAAATTGAATTTTAGTTAAACAGGAATATGGCAGAAAATGGATATTATGTAGGCAACTAACATTGTCTGATGCAAACAGGAAGTAGAAGGATGATCTTCAAAATTAGTATAGCAGGAGAGTTGCTTAGTAACTGGGAATGTTCCTTGGAAGGGATTAGAGGTTCCACGTTATTTTCCAGGACCTTGAGGAGTATAGGGAGCACGTAGCTCATAACTTGATAATCCATGTAATCAAGTAAATTGTGTAAAAGGGAATAAGAAAGAGTCAGTTTTCCATTCATTGTCAAAAATCTCTAAAACTCTTGACAAATAAGTTGTTGTTAAGTGCCATCAAGTCAGTTCCGACTCATAGCAACCCTGTATAGGGTTCCTGAGGCCTTAAATCTTTGCAGGAGCAGAAAGATTAATGTTTCTCCTCAGGAGCAACTGGAGGCTCAAACCACCAACCTTGTGGTTAGCAGTTCAGTGCTTATCATCTGGAGCCTCCACTCTCCCTGTGACAAATATACAATAGGGGAGATTGTGTGAGAGGCATTGTTAGAGGGGTTGCCAGTCACATCTCTACCCTTCAATAGAGGCATCCTTCTTGCTTTCTACTTAACTAGCTTAGTGGGTAGGAGTATGGCTGCTAACCTCAAGGTCAGCAGTTCAAAACTATCTGCAGGTGAAAGATGAGGCTTTCTGCTGCCATAAAGATTTACAGCCTCGGAAACGCTATGCAGGGGTCACTATGAGTCTGAACCGACTCCACGGCATATAACCACCATCACTACCACTTATTAAGAATAGTCAAGTGAGGCAGAGTTTCCCTTCAAGCAAGAGCTTATCATAGTAAAGAGGTTTGCAAGTGGAGATAGAGAATGCTTATTGCAATGCTTAACCCCTATCTCCCTGAACAAAGGCTTTGTTGGGCTTAAAAGGTTTTGGGTAGGGAAAAAACATCATGTTTATTCATAGGGATAGGCAGGGATTTCCAGGAAATGGGCCATTTAAGAGGGGCTAGTGTGGCTCTGTGGGCTAATGTGTCAGACTGCAAAGTCATCTGAACTGCAAGGTCAGTGGTTAAAGCTCACCAGCTAGCTGCTCCTTGGAAACCCTATACAGGGTCACTATGGGTCGGAATTGACTTGACAGCACGTAACAACAACAACAAGGCTAATTGGTGGAGACTTGATGTGGCACTGTGGGTTAATGCCCCAACTACAAAGCCATTTGAACTGCAAAATCAGTCGGCAGTTAAAGCTCACCAGCTCTCCTTGAAAACCCTATACAGGGTCGCTATGGGTCGGAACCAACTCAATGGCACTTAACAATAAAAACAAGGCTAATTGGGTGCAAGCACAGCATTTCCTCAAGATGGAGTCCACTGCAAAGGCCTCTGGTAGTAGCTAACAGAACTTATTCTAAAATTCCGAGCATGCATGATTCTTTGGGACCCTAGTTCAGATTCCTCTTGAGGTTGGCATTCTCCTTTACCCCAGTCAAGGATTGGTCCTTTAAATATATGCTAAGGCACTAGGTAAACCAGTCCAACGTGTAAAATAGCTCAGAAGGAAGTAAAAATACAGAATTTTTATGGGTGGTCTTGCTTAATGGCATGTCCCAGGATGTGGCTGCTCTGCTCTGTGCCCTGGGCATGTGCTGAGCATCTTTACAATTGCTCAAGAAAAGAGGGGAGCAGACTTCATCATTCCTCAGGATTTCAGTCACAAGATTTCACTCAATAAGTGTTGGTGGTGGAGGTTATGTGCCATGAATTCAGTAAGTGGCCCATGTTTAACCCTGATTTCTGGACCTCCTTTTCCCCCGTCTCACCATGTAGGCACTCTCTGACAGGCAATCCCTTGGTTACAACTGTCTGACTTAAGAACAACTCTTACATGTCCTTGTATATTATGTATATTTGCCCTCACTTTGAAAAGATTGAACCAACCCCTAATGGCAAAAAACTCTTCATCACAATCACCTTTATTTGCTGTATTGGCTACTTTT